GTATTCCTTTGGATAGATTTGGGGTCTTCTGTTCATTTTTCCAGTAGTATGTTGGATTACTGTCTGGAAGAGGGGTCCATTTTTAATTTACTTTTATTTTCAAATAAGAGTCATTCTATAGGCTGGGCATGGTGGCGCACACCTTTAATCCCAGCACTTGGGAGGCAGAGGCAGGTGACTCTTTGTGAGATAGAGGCCAGCCTGGTCTACATAGTGGGTTCCAGGGCAGCTGGGGCTACAGGGAGACCCTGTCTCATTCCCGTTGCTTTTGATTAGGAATCATTAGGGCAGGAAGCCTGGGAAATGTTGACACTTTCTTCCATTGCCTTTCTTGGTTTGTAATCTAAGTAATTTCAAGATACTATTCATGAATGAAGTGTTTATTTTACAAAGCCCATGAGTGGCATGACTCAAGGAGACAGAGAAGTAAGAATACAAAAACAAAAAGAAATGAAAGCTACCATGTCCAGGCTCATGTTGGAGCTGGTGCCTGTGGTAGAGCCTGTTTTTAGAAGAATACAAGTTTTCCACTGACAGAAGTTAAGAGGCCAGGATTGAAGCATCTGGTTGGAAGGGCAAGCACATTTCGACTGTGTTTGTGTTTGCAATTTAAGCACCCCTTCACAGGAAAGCTAGGTGTGCTGCTTGCTGCTTGTAAAGCAATAAAGCCATCGAGCTTGGATTCACTCCTGCAGAGTGCAGGGCTTGACTCCCTTGGCATATTGTACTATTGTACTGTTGAACACCCAGCAGCCTGAGTATAGAATTCCCTCCAAAGTGCTAGGAGTTCTCTGGCAAGAGCTTCAAGACCTCGTTGAATCTTTCAGACTCTAGATTTGCATGCCAGGTGGCTTAGGAAGAGCTCAAGCCAAATGGAAAATGTGCCCAGAGAGCTGTAGGGTTTGAATCTAAAACCATTGGGGGATGGTGGCGGTGAATGACAGTTTCTGTAGGAAAAAACTGGGGCAGTGATCAGAAATAAAGAGGAGAAAGGAAATATTTTCGGTGACTTCCATGAAGTAAGGCTACTATTTCTATTGAGTGCCCCTACTAATCCAAGTCTGTGTACTCACAGAGTGATACCAATGTATTTGTCTTTCATGGTCTTTTCGTGACACTGTATGGACAGAAACATTGGGGTCTGTAGATGTCTTCTGAATCTGGCAAGGTCTGATGGGGCCCTGATGATTTAATGCCATGCTTTGTAGCTGTGAACAATTACTCCCCCACAAGCTCAGACTTGTACAGTCATTATAGCATAGAGATGATCTTAAAGGCATGCATATGCTAGAATTTATATGGGTACAGATTGCTGAGGTGGTCCTGCCATGGTAAGGTGGGAGATAGAATAATTAGAGATAAGGAGAGATGTTTCCAGGCTGCTGAGCTGCAATGGTAGTGCACTGCAGACAGTCCCCATTCACTTTGTTACAAGTACTCTATGGATTCCTTACAAGCAAATGGGACAAGCTGGCCTATCATCAGGGTAGGGAAGAAAGAGGATGCTCAAAGAAAGCCCCACCTCCTTGCAGCAGTGAAAGAGAACCCTCCCATGTAGTAGTAGATTAATTTTCCTTGGAGATAAAATGAGCCATTTCATTGGGGATTTAAAAAATTAGTGACTTAAAAAAATTCAACTTGTTATTACAAAGATCCCCGTATTAAAGCTCCATGTGGTGGTTCATATCCTTGTGGACTGAAGCAGAGCTCTGCTGTTCCTTCTGCTCTGAGCATCACAGCATCTCTCTAAAGAACAGCAACCAGATTCTTGCATTGTCTTGCTCCTAAATTGGCCATCGAAAAATGTTCTTGCCCCAAATGCCACATTCAGATTTTTCTCATTCTCCCTGGATCTGAAAGCTTTTGACTTTTACAGCTCTGAAATAAGTATTAAAATAATATTCTCCTTACTTTTCATTTGACAAGGTGTATATTGGGATGGTTGAAGCATTCATTTGACAGTTGCTATGACATCCAATTTGTCAATATTATATCAGCTAAGATATCAATTCTCGAGTTCTTCCCATCAGTTCAAACTAGAAGTAGGTGCTTTCATCTGTGATACATTCTATTTTTAAAAATGTCAGGTGCAGGGCCTGCCTGACAAGTTCCCATCAGAATACAGATGGAGTGAGGTCTGTTGTTCAATCTTTAGTTCATTACTCAGGCTGGTTAAATTGCCCTAGGACTTGGTTCAGCTGCTGTATTGAATATCTTCTTAGGACAGACCTTCTAGGCGGTCTTCATTTTTCTAGAAAAGACTCTGGAAGTTCAGACTCAGCACATGTAACCAGTACTTTGTATAACCATCTTATCTTCCCCCTCCCCTCCCCTCCCCTCCAGGACTACATCTCTTGTATTGTGTATTTCAGGATAATTTGAACTGTAGCTGAGGATGACCTTGAGTCTCTGACCCTCCTGCCTCTACCTCCTGAGTGCTGGGATTACAGGTGTGCACCACCATACCTGGTTTATGTAGTGCTGGGGATACAACCCTGGGCTCTGTGTGTCCTAGGCAAGCACTCTGTCAGCTGTGCTGTATCCCAGCCCCCATCTTGTCTTGGTTGTGAGATCCAACACTTTCTGTAACAGCAGAATCAACTCATTCTAACCAGAGGCCAATGGCCTTCTGAGTAACTCAGAAACACCTAGTTACTGAGTAATTCTAAGAAGCCATTATAATGAAAGGCGGAGTGGGAGAGAAGGGAGTTGGACAGGTAGGCATTAAGATATAGGGCTGGAAAGTGGATCCTGAGAATCTGAACCAACTCCTTCAATAAAAGAAAATGAAAGGGCATCCCTTCTCCCACTTCTTCTTCATGCCTGCCAAGGCCTTAGAGGACCTTTAGCTCTACCTATGACCCTCACTAAATGCCCATAGTAAGAAGTGATACAGGGGTAGATTTTTGGCAAAATTTATTTAGCCTTAGAAAACTGGGCTTAAGCCTGGCACGGTGGCACATACCTATAATCTGAGCACTCAGGATGCTGAGGCTGTCCCCCCAAATAAAAGAAAACCAATTTAAACAACTTTATATTTCATTTGCCCAAGGACAGGTCTTCATTATCAAGGCTGCCTTTGAATTATACAGTTGTTATCTACTCAGACCTGGATCTTCAGTCTTATACAGCCCAAGACAGGGTCACCTCAACACTAAGATGAGCTCATTAGGGGAAACTTGATATTCATGTGCCTGTAATACTTGTATGTGGGAAGTAGAGGCAGGAGGATCAGGAACACAAGGTCATAGCAAGTTTGAGACCAGTTTGGGCTACATGAGACCCTGTTACAAAATACTTAGGGGTGGGGGAAAGGAGAGGACGAGGGAGAAGAAGGGGAGACACGTGATTGCACAGGAATATAGTCTTCAAGAACCAAGTGAAAGTCTTTGGAGCAGGGAGGGGTAGGAGAGGAGAGGTGAGGTGAGAGGGTGAGAAATACAGGATTATTTCAACTCTCTTTCATTAGAACAGTAACAATCTTCCTGCTTTTCGAATAATTATCTTTCAGGTCTTCAAGGTAACCTGGTATAAATTCACTTGGAGGAGACAGTCAATAACATAATTTTTTCCAGTTGTTCGATTCAATTTTTAAAAAATTTTTTACTAACTTTAAAACAATGCATTTACAACAAGCAGATGTTTTTCTCTACAGAACATAATTGTGAGATGAGAGGCAAATTGTTCAGGTGGAGACCCAGCTGACTGCTCACTTCTAACACAGGCAGTCCAAGAGCTCGTTGACTTGTGGGGCCACTCCTGGCTTCCAGTCGCTTCTTCCAGGTCAGGCTTGCATGGTTGGTTCTATCAAAGCCGTGGCCTCCCAACATGTGATGTTCTAGTCTGCAGGGTACCAGGGCTGGGGCAGCTCCTAAATCCTTCTTTCTGTTGAACCAGGTCTGCTTACATTCCTATTTCTTCATTAATTAACAAATATTTATTGAGCCACTACCAAGAAAGCATATTGATTCAAAGAGTGAGTTTGAGAGGCTAACTGCCAAGGTTTCAATACCACCTCTGCCACTTAGGAGCTCTGTGCCCTTGGAAAGTTATTAACTCCTCAAAGCCTCAATTGTTCTGTGAATGAAGAACAGTAACTGTTCTACTTTGCAAAGGGGTGGTAAGGATCAAATGAGAAAAGGTTGTAGAAATGTTTGTAAAATCAGCTCATAAGAAGAACCTGTCTCTTAATAGGCAAAGTGAGTCTGAGTAAAAGCCAAGTTGATTTGCTGTCTTCTGTACTTCCTAATCAAATCAAACCTACCTGATAATGCTCTCTGCCACTCTCAGATAATATAAAGTCCTCTGATCCATTTTGGTACCCAGAAGAGCCTCCTTCCAGAAATTCAGATGCCTAGTCTGTTATAACAATCAAATCAGGGAGCATAATGTAATTTAGAACTCTTCTCTGCCTAGATCCTCGAGGCCATGAGGCCCAAGTGGGAGAAAGGAGAAAGAAGGTGGAGGTCACCTTTCTAACTCTATTACCAGTCACTCATTGGCTATGACTTCAGAATTCTCCAAGTTGAAAGAGAGGATGGTATAGGAAAGGGACATGCTCCAGAGCAGCTATTTCTGGGATCCAGACTGTGGTTCCTGTGCCAGGCAGATAGCTAAAGTTTGCTCATGGTTGCCTAGGCATTTTTCAGGGCTGTGTTGTGCCCCCTCCTCATATTGATGATAACCACTGCCAAGTTCACCCAGTGTTTATCCTGAAGTTTCTCTCTCTCTCTCTTAGACAGTGAGAAGAAGATATATTCTCCTCAGGGCTGTCCTGCTGAAGTAAGAGAACTGTGGCTGACAACCACAGATCCAGGCAGAATTGTGAAGGAAAGATCAGTGAAAGGGCCCCCAGTGTCAAAGGGTCTTCGTTAATTCTGCTGTCCCCACCATTCTTCCTTTTCCTCTAGTGCCCTGGCTGGTACTCAGTGAGATCTTTCCAGGTGGAATTAGAGGCCGAGCAATGGCCCTGACGTCTAGCATGAATTGGGGCATCAATCTCCTCATCTCTTTGACGTTTCTGACAGTGACCGGTAAGAAATCTTTCCCATTCATGTCTTTTCTCCTCTTAGAATAAAAGGTAGAAAATGAATTTTCATAAAAATGTTTTGTTGTGGAAGTTTTCTGACATAGAATCAGGGAGAATCCATCACCCTATAGCTCTTGGTCTTCATCCAGATGGAGCCCCCCCCTGCTCTTCCCCTACCAAATTATTTTGAATTATATCATGTATATGCCATTTGTCTGTAAAATTTCAGCAAGCAAGACCACAATATAATTATCACACCTAAAATACTAATAATCTCCTATAGTATCTAATAGTTACTTGGTTCACATTTTACCAAGCACCCTATTCTAGTTTGTTTCTCCATTGCTGTGACAAAATATTCTGACAAATACCAACTTGGGGAGGAAAGGGTTTATTTGATTTACATCTCCTGGGTCACAATTCATTAGGGAGCCCAAGGTAGGAACTCAGGACAGGAACCTGGAGGCAGGAGCTGGAGCACAGGTCATGGAGGAATGCTGCTTATTGGCTTGCTGTCCCCGGCCTGTGCTCACCCAGTTTTTTGTTTGTTTTTGTTTTTTTGGTCTTTTTGAGACAGGGTCTCCCTGTAGCCACAGCTGGCCTGGAACTTGCTTTTAGGAGACCAGACTGGCCTCCATCTTACAGAGGTCTTTTTGAGACAGGGTCTCCCTGTAGCCACAGCTGGCCTGGAACTTGCTTTTAGGAGACCAGACTGGCCTCCATCTTACAGAGGTCTGCCCGCCTCTGTCTTCTGAGTACTGAGGCTGAAGGCATGCACTACCATACCTGGCATATATGGTTAATTTTAAAAAATGGATGGTAACTCAAAAAGTATGTTATACATATATACGTGCACATATTTATACATATTTAGTGCATAAGTTTTGAAATTACTTTAGAAGTTGTTAATTAAGTATGGTTTGGGCTTATATATAAAATTTTCATATGCTTGTGTCCTAGATTTTAAGAAATACCCCAAGCCTGAAAGAAACAAAGAAACTAATTACTAATGTTGACCATACCTCTCCTACCCTAATTGTACACAGAAGCATGTGTCCTTCACCTTAAACATGCGTATACACACACACACACACACACACACACACACACACACACATTCACCTTTCATCTGCTATTTAGTGAGGAGAAATAAAAATATGAAAGACCAAAAATGATGACAAATTGAAGGTGATGACCCAAGCCTTTGGGAAGGAGGGCTAGCGGATATATTGGATGAGCTAATGAAGATTTGGAGCCCTTGTTTGGGTTTTTAGACTAGTAAGTGTTAGGAAACCAGATCCATTGTTTTAATTTTATTTCTGTACATGTTTGTTGTTTTTTGAGACAGGATCTCACACTGATGCCCAAACTTGTGTGTAACTGACTATGTAGCACATTCTGGTCTCAAAGTCACATCGGTTTTCCTGTGTCAGCTTCCTCCCTCAGGTGGGATTACACACAAGCATCACCATGCTCAGCCAGGTCCAATTATTTTTTTAAAAGCCTGAAATGGTCTAAAATCTTTAGTTGGCATTTAATTGGGATACTTGAAGATCTCTATGTATTTTCAAGAATCAGTTTCTCAAGCATGGGTTAGTCTAAAAGACATGAGATTTTACGTGGCAACAAGCCTTTGGATACCAACATTTTAATGAACTGTCATGTGTATCAATATAACCATACTGTTCCACATGATCAAACATACTGTGTAGTGGGCAGTGAATTCAGCTCTGAGTAAACTCTTTTGAGAAGCTGTTTAAACATTGCAGTACAGAGCTGACTGGGTGCTGAACACCTATAAACCCAGTACTCTGGGAAGTTGAGTCAGAAGGATGAAGGATGAGTTTGAGGCCAGCCTGGGCTGTATAGCAAGACCTTATTTCAAAAGACAAACTAACAATAAAGTTGTAGTGTGTTCACTAGAAGAGGGTGACCTAGATGATAAGGGCCTGTCACCTGTACTCTGTGAAGAATGGCTTGGACATTCAGAGTGTCTGGTTTGGACCTAGGGACTCTCAAAGAAAGGATAAATGTATAAACAAACATTTAAGTGTCTGTCAGGAAGAAGGAGGGAGAGATCTAACTCCATGTGTGCCATGTAGGAGACAGGCAGAATGTCCTGAAAGAGAGATTTGAGAGCTAAGTAAAGGAGAACTTGGTACAGAGTGAGCTGTCTCACTTGGAAGTGAGTTGTTCTATAAAGTGGTGAGCTTTATGTTACTGAAAATGTTCAAACAGAATTCAGAATAAGTTTAATGTGATAACCTCCTGGGTTTTTACCAATTCCTGTATTCAAGATTTATGCTCTGGAGAGAGAACAAATTCTGCAAGTATTTTATTAAGCAATCCACCAAGCAAAACCGTGCACCAGCAACAAGACAAGCAGAGAGGTATAGGATTGATTAAAATTGTCAAAAAAACTACCTTGGGGATGGAGATGCCTCAGTGGTTAAGAATGCTTGCTATGCAATCACAAGGACCAGAGTTCAAATACCAGCAGCTAATGTAATAAATTCGATGTCCGGCACACACTTGTAACCCCAGCTCTGAGGGGGCACAGAGACAGGAGAATCACCAGTTTGCTAGCTTCTAGCCTAGCTGAGATAACATGAGCTCCAGACTCAGAGAGAGATCCTGCCTCAAAGGAATAGGTAGAGAGTGACAAAGGAGGACACCTGGCACTTTCTTCTGTGTACACATAGGCATGCATATGTGTGTATGTGTGCATGCACACAGATATTAAAAAAAAGAATTGCTTTGCTATTTCTTCTTCCTGCCCCTCCTCACCTCAGTACAACTCCCTGGCAAATGGTTACTATGCTTAGATCCTTCCACACTGCAGTTATAAAAATGGCTTCAGTATAGAATCACTTAGTCAGTTTTCCTCCTGACCAACTGTGATTTGTGGCTGCAGCTGTTAAAGGCCATTTGCAAATCTTATCTGCAGTTGGTCTGAGACTGTGTATAAAAAGAGCCAGCTAATTTCTCACTGTTCCCCTGTCACATTGGACTGATGCTGCTGGGCCAGGGACCAGCACAATGCAAATGGAACACTTACGTGCATGGGACACATTTTGTGAGTCACTGTACCTTGAATTTGGCCAGGGACTAGAAAGATATATATCTTTAGAAGTAGCCAAGGGAACAAGCAGGCAGATAAGGGAAATCCATCAAAATCTTGAGGCTCTTGCTTCTTGCTGATACGCCATAGCTGGTTGATGCCTTTCATTGGATCCGTTATCATGTTTTCCTCTGGACCTGGAAGGAGGACTTGCAAACACACCACTAGTTACTAAAAATGATGAAACATTGCCAACTTGAAGTAATTTATTCAAACAAGATGTATTAGTCACGTTTCTGCTGCTGTGATAGAAGCACTGACCAAAGCAATTTATAGAAGGAAGAGTTTATTTGAGCTTACGGTTCCAGGGGAATTACAGTCCATCATGGCAGGGAGGCATGATGGCTGGAGGTGGCTGGAGCAGGAGCAGCAGAAGCTAAACTCTCACATCACGCAGGCACAGGAAGCAAGAGGGCAACTGGAGATCTGGCAAGGCTTAAGAACTCTGTAAGCCCACTGCCAGTGACGTGCTTCCTCCAGGATAGCCACACCTCCCCAAACAGTGCCATCATCTGGGGACAAAATGTCCAAACACTTGGAAACTATGGGGGACATTTTCATTCAAACCACCACATTCCACCCCCTGGCCCCCATAGGCTCATGATCATATAAAATGCATTTAGTCCAACTTTAAAAGTCCCCATAGTCATTATCAGTCTCAATACTATTCAAAAGTCCACAGTCTAAAGTGGACTCAGGTAAATATCTTAACTGTAAGCCTCTATAAAATAAAAAAACAAATGACATACTCCCAACATACAATGGAGGCATAGTAAGGAAATAGCGGACCAAAACAAGACCGAAAACCAGCAGGGCAAACACCAAATCCACTAGCTCCACATCCAACTTCTGGGACTTTACTTCCAAAGGGCTTAGATGGCTCAGCCTCTAGCTTTGCTGTGTGCAGCACACATCTCTCTCTTGTGCTGGTACCACTCCCTGTGTGCAGGTCTTCTTGGCAGATGCCTCACAGCTCTGGCATCACGAACTTCTTGGGGTCTCCATTGCCAACCAGGCTTCACCTTCACAGCTTCACACAATGGCCTACCAGGGCCTTCTCTAGGCAGGGGCACCCCAGTTTCATGCTGCCTGGCCTCCAAGTCTCTCTGAAACCTCAGAGGAAGAATTGATGACCCATTCACTCTTCCATCTTTCATGCCTCTAAAGTCAGCACCAAGTGAGCAACACTGCCAAGTTTGACTGCAAGTTTGGGATGGACTCCAGCCTGCTTTATCCATTTTAGAAGCTTTTCTCTTCCATGGCCCCTGCAGCATTTTCCTTTCACAAGTTGGAGGCTTAACTGGGTGTGGTCTTGCCCTGGAAGCACTCTCTCCATGTTTAAGTTTGAATCTCTAGGCCCCTCTTAATCACCTTAATCTCCTTATCAATGGGATCTCTCCATCACACACCAGGACTCGAACATTAATCTTCCTAGTGCTCTTTTTCAAACCATCCTTTATATTCTGTATTTCTTTCTGCCCTATTTGCTCTTTTTCACTGTAAATCTGTATAATATTCACCATTAATAGCCATGCCACCATTTCTACATTACACTGTCTTGAAATTTCTTCCACCAGAGAAATTAGTCCATTGCTTTTCAACGTAGCCTCAGGCAAGCTTTTAGGTTGAGGGCAGACTCCAGCCAGACTCTTTGCCAAATATCCCAAGTGCTGCTCAAGTCCTTATTTCCCTCTGGAACTACATTGTTCTCAGCACCGCTTTCTTCCAGGTGTTTACTAGAATGGCCTGTTAAGCTCTGCTTACAGCAATCAAGCGCTTTTCTAGCCCAAACTTTCAAAGTCTTCCACATTTTTCCAAAACCCTACATGGTCAGGTTCTTCAAAGTCAAGAGCCCACTCTCTGGAACCAATTACTGTATTAGTCACGTTTCTGCTGCTGTGATAGAAGCACTGATCAAAGTGATTTATAGAAGGAAGAGTTTATTTGAGCTTACGGTTCCAGGGGAATTACAGTCCATCATGGCAGGGAAGCATGGTGGCTGGAGGTGGCTGGAGCAGGAGCAGCAGAAGCTAAACTCTCATATCATCACACAGGCATAGGAAGGAAGAGAGCAACTGGAGATCCGGCAAGGCTTAAGAACTCTGTAAGCCCACCCCAGTGATGTGCTTCCTCCAGGATAGCCACACCTTCTAAAACCTCCCAAAACAGTGCCATCATCTGGGGACAAAATGTCCAAACACTTGGAACCTATGGGGGACATTTTCATTCAAACCACCACACAAGAGTAAAAAGGATGAGCTCATTTCAAGAGAAATCCATCTGTACAAATATGTCATTTAAAATGTCCATAGATTAGAAGTCAAACAACCGCAGTGGCAAGTCCCAAGAGGGAATCAGTAGAGGGTAAGAGAAAATTACACACTTCTGCAATGAGGTTTTTATTTTTGTACTTGTGATGGTTAGCTTTAGTTGTAGACTTGACACAGCCTCGAGTCACCTAGGGAAGACAGTTTCTGTGAGGGATTGTCTACATTGTGTTGGCCTGTAGGCATGTCTGTAGGAGATTATTTTGACTGTCAATTGATGTGGGAAGATCCAGCCTACCGTGGGTGGCACCATTCCCTAGGCAGGAGATACTGACTATCTTAGTACAGCAAGGAAAAACTGAGCACAAGCCATGAAGCAAGCAAACAGGAATCTGTGTGTTTATTCTCTCTCTGCTCTCTACTATGGATGTGATGCTTTCAGTTTGTGCCTTGACGTCCCCATAGTGATGGACTAACCTGAAATTATAAGACAAGTAAACCCTTTTTGTTCTCTAAGTTGCTTTTAGGGTATTTTATCACAGCGACAGAAATGAAATTAGGATGTAAATGAACATGTGTTTTTTAAAAATATCTGTGTGTTTATTCTCTCTCTGCTCTCTACTATGGATGTGATGCTTTCAGTTTGTGCCTTGACGTCCCCATAGTGATGGACTAACCTGAAATTATAAGACAAGTAAACCCTTTTTGTTCTCTAAGTTGCTTTTAGGGTATTTTATCACAGCGACAGAAATGAAATTAGGATGTAAATGAACATGTGTTTTTTAAAAATATATATATGACCTTGAGTTTAAATTGTGGTCTGTGCCATACCACCCTGAATGTGCCTAGTCTTGTCTGAATTTAAATTGTGATAGCTACAAGAGAGCTCTGTACTTTACCTAGGAAAGCTGGGAGAGTATTATGGAAATGAAACCCCCAGAGCTGGTTGTATTTTAAATTTGAGGATTTTATTTCCATGGAGACTGTAGGCACGTATGAAAATACACACGACTTTCAGTGGTTCTGAGAAGTGGTGTTCAACATGGGCTCAGAGTAACACAAAACACATTATCTAATTACTCCTTTTGTCCCTTGTAGATCTCATTGGCTTGTCCTGGGTGTGCTTCATATACACAATCATGAGTCTAGCATCCTTGGTTTTCGTTGTTCTATTTATACCCGAGACAAAGGGGTGCTCTTTGGAACAAATATCAATGGAGCTAGCAGAAGCGTAAGTATTCATATGATTGGTTTCTGAACAATTTTTGGCTAAGTAGTAACATCTGAAATTATTTTTATGATATTCCCTTTAGTCTGTGTCTCTGTGTAATTACAGTCCCAACCTTGTCTTTAATGTGTGTGAACCACTGCTTTTCAATAGGCCGGGCTTTTGATGCTCTATTCAGTAATGACTAAGAACCTCAAGCTGGGCCTACTAAATGCCTGTAATCCCAGCACCTGGGAGGTAGAGGTAGGACGATTAGGAGTTCGGGCTCACCATCAGCTACACAGCAAGTTCCAGGCCAGCTTGGGCCTCCTGAGACATCACCTCAACTTCCCCACCACCCATGAAAGAGAACTTCTTCACCTCTAGGTCCACAAAGGGGAAGCCATCTTTGGGGTATTGGGTAGGTGCTGGGATATGATATCCACTCTGGCCTAGGACCACAGCTTCAGTCCTTTATCTAAAACAGGCTACAGGGTTTTAAGACCAAACACTTAAGGTTACAGTTAGTAGAAAAACTCATGATTCTGTGTCTACAATTGCTTTCAATATGGCACATTCAAGGTAATTTTAATAAAGGTTAGGAATTTCTTGCATTATTAGGCTTTTAGAATCTAATTCCAGGCATGTAAGTAAATTTCACATGAAGAGATTAGTTAAATAATTTAACTTGCAAGTGGGCTGTCAACAGCTTTCTTTCAGTAGAAGAGCTGGAAGCTCTAACTGCCAAAATTGATGGCCCAAGGGAAGGGGGGAGAGGTGGTGTACGGGGTCTAGGAATGAAGGGAAACTTGTTCTTCGTGGGATTAAAGTACACTTAGAATTGCCGTACTTATTCTTGGGCTTTAATATAATGGAGAAAAATACATTTATTTTACAGGTTATTTTCTTTTAAAAATACCTTTATTTTTTTTTCTTTCTGGTCTCTTTGAGACATAGTCTTCCTATAGCCCCAGCTGGCCTGGAACTAACTATGTAGACCAGGCTGGCTTCCATCTCACAGAGATCCACCTGCCTCTGCCTCCTGAGTGCTGGGATTAAAAGTGTGTGCCACCATGCCCGGCTCTTTTAAAAACACTTTGAAAACACTGGAGAGAAATGTATGTTGACAGAAGTTGTGAGACAGTGACTCTGTATTTTTCGTCAGACGGAAGCAAAGGCTGATGGGTGAATTGATGGTGGGATACATGTGCAGATATGTTTAACAGGTCAAACCTTAAACCCTGGTTTAGTAGGGGAATAAGCAGACTCATAGAAAATTTTCACTTTGAGTTTATGAATTTCTTTGTTTTTGTTTTTTTTTGGTTTTTTTTTTTTTTGAGACAGGGTCTTTCTGTAGCTCCAGCTGGCCTGGAACTCACTATGTAGACCAGGCTGGACTTGAACTCACAGAAATCCACCTGCCTCTGCCTCCTGAGTGCTGGGATCAAAGGCATGTGTCACAATGCCCGGCATATGTTTATGAACTTCTACATGGTTCAATCTTTAAAATATTTCACTTTGCTCAGCAGAAAAAAACTTTTCTCAATTCAAACAAGTTGACTATCAAGTTGTGGGACTACATTTTGATACAGATGAGGCCTTTTGCAAAAATGAAAAAGAAAATGATGAAATTACAATGCAAAAAAAAAATGCAGATGTTAAGAAGGCTGGGTATTACCCTCAGCTTGACCCAGTGCATTGCCTGATTTTAAGCAAATTGAAGCCACGTGATTAGATTTCTTGGCGAGCATAGAACCTGAATGTGGTTGCTAATTACAAACATAATTTCAACCATGACTGCTTGTGTCAGACCTTGATAACTCATGGCATGCTTCTGGGAGCTGGAACCTACTAGAGTCTAGGTCTGGAATTACTGGGGCAGCACTAAGAAGCTAGGACACCAGTGACTTCCACATCCGCCGTTCTTCCTCCATTTCTCATCCTTTCCTATGCTGGTTTCCCATAGGTTAGGTACTGCTGTGTAACAAACCACCCCACCTGTAGTGTTGAAAACAGCAGTTTGCTGTTTCCAGGGAGGTTTCGGCTTGGCTGGGTGGGGCTCCACTTGCTTCACCTGGACTCACTCATGGGTAATGTGAGCAGGACAGTCAGTGGGACTGGAAGTCCCATGATCCCATGGAGTTTGACCACATAGCTGGTAGTGGGTGCTGGCATTGGTCGGGAGTTTCAGTTATCTTCGCATCCTCCCCTTCAGGAGACTAACATGGCTTCACAAACACAATAGTGAAGGCTGAGGAAGCGGCACCATCTGGAATTCACACCTCCACCTCTCATGGCATCCTCCCCTTCAGGAGACTAACATGGCTTCACAAACACAGCAGCCTTCCAATAGTGAAGGCTGAGGAAGCGGCACCATCTGGAATTCACACCTCCACCTCCACTCCTACTGTTAATAGAAGTTCAGGGCCAGTTTAGATTCAAGGGATGGAGACAGAGACTTCATTTTTTTTATGGAACGAAGGGCATTTTTTTTTTTTTTCCTCTTTTTAAACCACATCTAGTCTCAAAATTCTCTTTGGCTTTCATGAAACGTACTTCCCTGGACCTTCTACTACCTGATTTTTACCTCATTTCTCCCTGTATGCCTACATCACCGCTGTCTTTTGAAGACTTCAGTGTCCATCTTTTTGCTTCAAAGGTCAACTCAAGTCTTTAGCCTCGAACGCCCCAGTAATTCCAGACCTAGAAAGCATGCCTCTTGCACAGACTCTTGCACAGACTGCCAGCATTTTCTTGATCATTTTCTCTCACAGAGCCTCGGCTAGTATTTTTATAGGTAGACTTTTGGTTTCCAGGGATGCTTTCCCAGTTACCCTCCTTAGGCACTTCTGTAGTGTATAGCTTCGTATTTATTCCTGGCACATCTTTGAAAATTGTCTGCCAATTGATTTGGGAACTTGCAGGCAAGAGTGATATTGAACTCATTGCATGTGGGGGCTGGGTCTGATGTAAACCCTACCTCCCACCTGCCAGACAACAGTGCAAACAGCACAGGTTTTGACTGAGGGTCATAAGGTGTGATTTAGTCTATAGTTCAATACAGTCCATGCAATGGGAGGAGGAGAAGAGGTAAAAACATGAGTGAGACATGGACAAGCCACCTTCATCACTGCGTTGGCCGCTACTTAAAATATTATTCAATTCTTTGTTGGCTAAGCAGCTGACAAGAAAGAATTGAAAACTTTGGCAATAACCACCCAAAATCCATAACTTTCTGCTTTAGGAAGTAGACAGGAAATCAGATTGCTGCAATGTATTGTGTTGGTTAGCACAGAGATAAATTTTTCTTTATTAGATGAGTTCATTCTATAAAAGTTTTTTTTAAAAAAGTTTTTTAGCTCTCAAGATTCAGAGCTGAATCTTGAAGGAGTTATTTGGGTAAAGATGATTGGTGGTGGGGTGTACACACAGAGGAATAATGCTCTCAGAGCTGTGCTATGAAGGTCAATATGCTGTTATGAGATTAGGAGATGAGTGGTCAGGGTCTTTGTCCATCTTGGTAAAGATTTTGGACTTTATCTTAAAGGTGGTTTGTTGTGATTGTTGTTGTTGTTGGTGGTGGTGGTGGTGGTGGTGGTGTGTGTGTGTGTGTGTGTGTGTGTGTGTCTGTGTGTGTGTCTGTGTGTGTTGGCATATGTACCAGTATATAGGTATGTGAATGCCTGTGTTCATACACACACATACAGAGGCCAGAGAGGACACTAGGCTTCTTCCTCTATTGCTCTTCACCTTAACCCTTTGAGTTAGGACCTCTCATAGAAGTTCAGTTTTGTGTGGGTTAGCTGGCCAATGAGCTCTCGGGATCCTCCTGTCTCCACCCCTACTGCTGGGGTTATTAGCATGTTTAGTCACACCCAACTTTTATGCCAGTGTTAGGGATTCAAACTCAGGTACTCATGCTTGTGCATCAAGTGCTCTTACCCACTGAGCCATCTCCCCAGAAGTAGTGTTTAAAATAAGAGCAGAATGAAGTGACCAGATTTTAGAAGGAATGTTCAAGCAAAATATTCAGGGTGGGGAGGGAAAGGCACTGAATGAAAGGGATTCATGAGGAAGCTGTTGGAAGCAGCAGGTGGGAAGGTATGATGAGGCTGGGCATGGTGGAACAACAGGTCCTATCAAACTGGGAACCTCAAGTTAGACAGAAAGACAAGGGAAAGGGGGATATTAGGATGGCTCTCAGGCTTCTAGAGACAGCCCAGCCCGAGTTTTTCACAGCTTGGTTTAAAAAAAATATTACAAATCATCAATGTGGAATTGGACATGGCTATACCAGGCTTGAGCAGGTGAGAGGTCTGGAGGCCTTCATTTCATTGTCTTCATGGTAAATCCAGTTTTGTGGACATGCACTTTGAACTATTCGTCTCCTAACTCAAGGAGCAAAATACATTAAAAAAACAAAGATTTGTCAGGTTCTTATGAATACCACCAACTAAAAACTGGAGACACAAAAAGCAGGAATGAATTGCTACCTGAATAAACTGTTGCTTTCATTTGACAAGCTAAACAAAAGACTTACTACTATCACACCCTATATCTCCTTTAAGAAGTCTACCTTGAAGCTGACAGCACAGCTTGACTAGGGAGCTTTGGGGTCTGATTAGCAAATGCACCAAACTGAAAAATCACTTGAAGACAGAATTGTCTAATCTTTTCATTTAGTAGGCTTCTAGAATGTTTCTTAAGAACATATGATTTGGGCATCAACAGTTCAGCAAAACTTATTTAGAATTCTGGGTGGAGGAATAATCCAAGTGAATAAATTTCTGACTTATGAAATAAGTGCAAAGGAACCAACATTTGTTACTTTTGAGTCATGCAATTACTCAAAACCTCAATGCAGGCACTCTCCAAAGAGAGTTATAAATTGAAAATGAGGACAGGATCAAAGCCAAGAGTATGGTAGACCCCTCAAAAGTACTGCAAACAAAAATAGAGATGGAGGCTGGGGTACAGAAATACAAAAAAAAAAGATGACAAGACAGTTCTGCACCTCCAACTGTCAGAGACACAGCTGTATGTACTAGGCGTGTACTGCTGTGGGGAGCCCAGGATGGAATAAAGACAGGAAAAGAATTTTGCTTTTAACTTAAGCAATACTAAAGATTTAAAGCTTTTCTTTGCTTGATGCACTAGTAGTAAAGGGAAGATGTGTATAAGCATCCTGAATTATGTAAACTGACTAAAAGTATGAAGTGTATGCTAAGGGTCCCTGGAGAGAAATGCCAGGCAAAGAAATGTGGTACTGATAAGTTATTAAATTAGGTAAAGAGATGTAGGGCAGTGGAACGCCCATGGGACTTACTGGAGTGAATTTGACTGAGGAAGGCCACTGCTGAGCCAAGGGAGTATTTTGGAATTTAGACATTAATAAAACAAATAAATCAGCCGTTGTCACCAAGGAAACCAGTTCTGATGTGTAAATTCCAGTAGGTTTTCCTAAGCAGTAAAAAAGGAAACTATTTAAATATCAATTTAATTTCAAATTTGATACTACATTGCTTAATATTTCCTCTCTCCTATTTAGACTTGTTTTTTTTTTTTTTTTTTTTTTTAAACTTCCATTTGCACAAAGCTGAGAAAACAAATATTCTTCCAAGGATGTTAAGTTCCTTATAAAATGGTGACTCAGCTCTGAGGTCAGGAAAGATATCTGCAGTAATGTAATTTGAAAAGATTTTGTTTTGAATATCTGCCCTGCCCTACACACCCCAGTGGAACACTTGTGACATCCACTTTTCAACTGTGATTTACTCTTTTCCCCAACTTATGTGGAAACCAACAATTTAGTGTATCATAAATATTTTAGTTCTGAGGCTTAGTTTTCATTGTTAGTAGGCAGTGCAATGTGGTCAGTCCTGCATACAAATGAATTTCTTATACTTATTGAGGGTTGGGGAGATGGCTCAGTAGGTGAAGTGCTTGCCATACAAATATTAGGACCTGTTTAATCCCCAGCATCCATGTAAAAGCTGGTATAGCAGTGCATACCTTTAATCCCATCTCTGGGGACATGGAGATAGCATAGGATTCTTGAAGCTTAGTAGCTAGCCAGTCAAATGAGTGAGCTCTAGGTTTTTAGGTTTAGTGAGAGACCCTATCTCAAAAATAAAGCGAGGAAGACACCTGATATTGACCTCTGTCTCCACATTAAATAAATGTATACTTTTGAGTATCATCAGTTAAGCACCAGACACTAATGTAGGTGCTATAACCGTATTATCAACTAGGAAACAAAGCACCCACAAGATAATGAAAATGTATGTGGTGGTGCTTGCCTTTAATCCCAGCACTTGAGAGGCAGTGTCAGGTGGATCTCTGAGTTGGAGGCCAGCCTGGTCTACATAGTGAGTTCTAGGACAGGCTGGGGCTACCAGACGACCCTGTCTCAAAAAGACCAAAAAAAAAAACAAACAAAAAAAACAATTATTTTTTTCAAAAGAAAATGTATTGATGTAGTTGGTGGGTGGGGGTGGGGGTGGGGACTTCAGAAGGTTGTTCTAAGATACAATCTGTTAAGGAGCCAAACCAAGAAGGCAGGGAACAGAGAATGCAGGAATTCAGAGAACAGCTAGTGCAGGGGGTAACTCAGAAACAGGCATGACCTGTTCTAGGAAGGGCAAGAACCCCAGGAGGTCACAGCCAGAGACAGATAAAGCAGGTTGCCTGAGGAGTTGCATGTTAGTTCTAATTTGTAGTGGGAAGCAGACCAAAGAATTTTAAGGGGGTAGTGACCTGACATGATTGACACTCTAAGTCAGACACGCTCAAGGGAGCATGTGCAAGTCACCCAGCTGCAGGAGGTCAGGGAAGCACACAAGCAGTGCTGGCCTCAGGCAGCCCCCGTGTTGCCTGGCAGTGCCAGATGTCCCTAGTCCATTAAAGTTGTCTCTGTCCTAGAAAGTTGCTCCATAGAAACTTCTTTCTTCCACGACCTTCTGACCTGCTTGCTCCCACCAACGACCGCATTTCTGACTACCCTAGAGTGGACATAATCCCGAGGGAAGTCTACCACTCTCATGTCAGTTCGTGTTGTTAAGCTTTAAAAAATTTTTATTTTTGGTATCTGAGTGTACTGCCTGTGGGTATGTTAGTGCGCCCGCGTTGTGCAATGCCTGAGGAGTATAACGCTTTATAATCATACCATCATTCCTTTGGGTTTGAAGTATTAACTCCAGCATTCCTAAGAAAAGTCAACACCCTTCATACCCCTTTCCTCTCCTCTCCATTTGCTATTTCACTGTCCGTATGTCCACTTTTCTACTTTTCAACAGCATAGATAGAAAACTGCTTGGCTTCTACCCCTCCATTTTTAGACAGGGTCTTCCTACAGCCGCAGCTGGCCTGGAACTTGCTATGTAGACCAGGCTGGCCTCGATCTCACAGGGATCTGCCAGCCTCTGCCTCCCGAGTGCAAGGATTAAAGGTGTGTGCAACCATACCTGTGCTCCCCCCGATTTTTTGAGGGGTCTTGTGTATCCCTGGCTGGCCTGGAATTCTTTGTACAGAGATGACCTTGAACTTCTGATTCTCTTGCGTCCACCTCTGAAGTGCTGGGATTATAGGTGTGTACCACTGTATCCAGTTTATGCAGTGCTGAGGACGGAACTGAGGCTTCCCTGAATGCTAAGCAAATACTCTCCAACTGAGCTATGTCCCAGTCATCCCCATCTTCTAAATAGTGTTTTGGTGCCAGGCATGCTGCTGCACACCTTTAATCCTAGTATTGGGAGGCAGAGGCAGGTGAATCTCTGAGTTTGAGGCCAGCCTGGTCTACACAGATTTCCAGGACAGCTGGGGCTATGGGGAGACCCTGTCTCAAAAAGACCAGAAAAAAAAGAGAGTGTTTTGGTGCCATCTTTCTACTTACAGCAAAGCTTTTTATCAAGTCTGCTCATTCCATTTTCTGGTGAACCTGTTCCAATGACACTTCTATGGCCACCACTTCCCTGAACAGTGCTAAACCCCGGGGTCAGTTCTCATTCACTTTAGGTCTAGAGTATGCGCCCCCTTTCTGAAATATGAGCTTCACTGCATGTGGGAACTCAGCTCTTGGCTGTCTCCTATTGCACAAGACTCTCTTCCTCAGCTGGTTCCACCTCATCTCTCTCTAGCCGGGCTTCATCCTGTGACTGAGTTCTCAGTAGTTGCTTGACTTCAGTCAGCGCTGTGCCCCTTGAACCATCTATACCAGTTGCTGGGATTTATCTAGGTATTTGACTAGTCTTGTTTTAAGTTTATGAACATCAGTCTGAAGAATGGCTTTAGGATTCCTACCATCTGCCACAGTTTGGGTGGGGTGTGACTTTCTTACTTGCAAGATGACACTTCAATCTAAACTCTTCTCCAGTCTCCTATACAACCTCCTCCCACTTTTTGTCAGTGACTTTTTAGTTCACCAAGAAAATAGCCTCACCACACCCATGTGCCTCACCATAAAGGCCAATTGTGCCATTTGTGTAGAACGTGCCATCAGTCTCCTCTTTCCCATCCTACAATGTTCTTCCTCAGATGTCACATTCCTTCTAAGTACCAGCTCATTTCCCTGTCCCAGTGTTCTCTGGAATTCTTTACAAGGTTCAACTTGACACTCCAGCTGCTTATCAAATGTTAGCTTACTGAAGATATCACTTGTAAGATATCTCTGCCCCCAACTATCATTGTCTTCCTTTCCCTGCTTCTGTGCCTTCATCCTGACGAAAGCACGAGCTTGTCAGAAGCCAGGCTTTTTTTTCCCAAATTTATTTCATGTGTATGTTTTACCTACATGTATGTATGTATGTAACCATATGCAATGCCCAGAAGTCAGAGAGGGCATGGGATCTCCTGGAACTGGAGTTACAGATGGTTGTTAGCAGCCATGTAGAAACGGAATCAAACCTAGGTCCTCTGCAAGGGCAGCCAGTGCTCTTAACCACTCAGCCATCTCTCTTGCCCTGGAAGCCAGTTTTTTATACATTCTATGGCCTGCTTACTGTGGCACAGCCATTTCATTTACTGTGAGAGAGGGGAGGGTTCTAAGGTACCCCCGTCTTTTTTTTTTTTCTAAATAAAGGTAAAACACTAGAGCATATTTTTATGCTGATGGAAATAATACTGTAGAAGAGTGCTATGACAAAGGTGAGGGGAAAAGGCAGAATCCAGGTGTGCTGCTGCCAGAGTTAGAAAAACAGAACATGAAAGGATTTGGGGTAAAACTGCCACTACTTTTCTGTACCTAATAAAACCGTTGGAGTTCTGGCCTACACAGAAGGGGTGCTGTGGTCATCTCAGAAGACATCTCCTCTTGTTACCCTCTACATGAGATGGACCAAAGGTCTTAGGGACACATCAGAGTTCACGGCACATTAGAGCTTCTCAATAAGAATGTTTTGCATTAACTAAAACATGAAAACCCCAGGGTAATTTTAAAAATAATAAGCTGCACATTTCTTTCAAGTACTGTAAATGAAGAATGACATTTTCATTAGTGCCTCTTTCTCTTTCAGGAACTATGTGAAAAACAACATTTGTTTTATGAGTCATCACCGGGAAGAATTAGTGCCAACACAGCTTCAGAGAAAGCCCCAAGAGCAGCTCCCGGAGTGCAAAAAGCTATGTGGAAGAAGACAGCCACAGCAGCCTTCTCCTGAAACCTAATGGCCTCTGATCCTTACAAATGGCAAAGCAGAACTTACAGAGGGTCTCTGCTCTTCCCATGCCTACCCTTCACTGTCATGGAGTGACTTCTACAGGGACACCCTGAAATTAGATAACTTTTAATTCCTAACCCCCAAAGGAACCTCTGTCAAAAGGCAGACAAGGTACAAGGGTCCTCAGCATGCACGTAAAACGAAACAAAATCATACCGGCCAGTTCAATACTTTCTACCTTTTCTGTAGAACAGCCTTCGAAAGACTAAATCCTAGTGATGAGGCCAGCCTCTGCCTTAATCTGTAAATATATAGGAGGCCAGTCACTAACACTCAGACAGACATACAAGTTCTGGACAGGCATGTGCCATTTTTGCCTATGAAGACACTCCTTGCACTAGGTCTCATGTAAAAACAAACCAAGACATTATGTGGATGATTTGATTGCACATATGTTCTAGATTGGGATAGTGTCCTGGAGAAGACCTTAGAGATAACTCAAATTCACCAGTACAAAGATTATGCAGCTTATTTTACAAATGAATACAAGTTAATGCAAAATCTTATAAATTGCTTGTCAATATTTTAAAATGCTAAGAGGCACCATTTTGTAATTCTTGAGAATAAGTATTTTTCCTTTTTTTTTTAAATGACTAGAAAGGTCAATTTAGACTTCCTGGGACCATATTTATTTAGAAAAAGATGTTGGTAAACATGAGTCAGGCCATAAGGTTATTTATCCAAATCTCTATCTAAGCAGTTAGGTTTAAATTATCAAAGTCAAACCTATAAAAACTGTCTCCTGAAAAGGCTGTTGTGGTGGCCTGTAGCAGTCCACAGCTTTCTGCAAAATGCTCCCCACTCCTCAGGAATCTCTCTACCTCAAATGATGGCAGACTAGCTCTCACTGCTCCCTTCAGGTGAATGCAGATGTAATGAATGACATTCAGAGATCAGGAGAACTCCCTACCTTCTTTTTTGTGATAAAAGTGACAGCCAGCCATACCAGCAATTACCCACATGATGCATTTCTGTCCTGTTTTTCCAGCATTTAAAAAAATTTGGATATGACAGAAAATCCACGATAAAGAATCTTGAATCACTTAATATAACCTATGAAAGACACACCACACCAAAATCTCTGAAAGCATGAACCTAACTTGAAAAATATTTAAAAATATGATTAACCTGAAAAAAAGTGAATCCTAAGCACTCAATTTTCTTCCTTTCCCCTACAAAATGGTCCCAGATTGCTACAAAGGAACATGACCCACCACATTCTTTTATGACAAAATGGAAAGACAACAAATCCTTGCAAGCAATAGTAGTATCTGAGACTTGGAAGAATGACTGAAAGTCTTGGTTCTGAAATGTATCATCTAAATTAATGGTGGCAGGAAGCCAGAAGGAAAGGTTTAAATCTTGATTATGTCATGGTACACTTCCTATTGCAAGTCAAAGCACACGCTGGCTTCTGTTTATTTTGGAAAAAGAAGGCAAAGTTTTTTCTGCAGAGCATCAATTTAAATTGATCATGAATCTTCTGGAATTATATGTCAGGTTTTTAAAAAACTTGATGCGGGTTATCAACATTAACTTTTTTTTTCTTTTCTCTTCCAAGTACCAGATTGTTTAGGACACTTTTTTAAATTGTTAGAGGATTCAATTTTAAACATTCTATAAGCTATTTCTTGGTTTGTCTATTCATTGCAAATGAGTAGACAATAAACAAAGGTAGCTTATTAGTGTGGCTTCAACTTAAGTATCTTAAACATTCTATTTTTCTTTTATTATCCTGAGTCTGTAAGCAATTTTGTTTTTAAAATAATTTTTACCCAGTATTAGCCTCACCCCTCCCGCCTCAACACATGAAGCCTTTGATTTTCAAAAATAAAAAGGGGGGAATACTTACAATTTGTATGTATATATTCACAGTTTTTATTTATATAAAAAATATACAGTACTGTGGAAAGCCAGAAGACATGAGACACACTCATTTTACCCAGCTTTGTTTTACTTAGTGGATTGCCCATGGACACTGCCAGGCAGTGCTCATAGTGGCTGGATCCAGACTTGGTCAGGCTCATTCTTTGCCTCTAAGATAAACCATTTACAAGAACTTCATATCTGCCTGGCTTTCAAGTCATCAAACACTGAAAATGTTAATCATGTGGATCTTCACCTTAGCTACACAAGTGTTTTTGCCCCTATTACATATTTGTGTTTATGAATCAGCAAAACAGGAGTTCACTTGTTACTGTTCATTAAAACCAAGTGGGAAACCTCAGAATTGTAAAGCAGTCTGCTGGTAACTCCTTTCATCTAGTTTTATTTTGGTATTTAAGATTTTTGCTATCCTGTTGATCTTAAAATGAAGCAAATAAATGTAGAAACAATTTTAAAAACTGAAGGCTTAAAAAAAAAAAATCACAATGAACTCTTTCATAAGAAAGTAAGTATAAAAGTTAGCCTTTGCCCCTACTTTTGAAGGAGTGAAGAGAGGGTGTGGGAAGGTTTCACGAAGAAAACTAAAATGGACAAAAAATCAGATGTTCTGTCCAGTGCAGTGCATTAAGTCAGGTTTGTAAAATTTTATGATACACAGAAAATGCACTAAACATGGATGCTCAGGTGTTACAAGACTTTGCTAACATTTCAAAACATACTAGTAATTCAGTTTCTCCACTAAACATGGATGCTCAGGTGTTACAAGCCTTTGCTAACATTTCAAAACATACTAGTAATTCAGTTTCATGGGAGATATGTTGGGATATTGCTTCCATTTAGTTTCTGCTGAGAATATAACTTGACTCTACCCAGCTTGTAAAGTCACTGTTGGTTACACTAAACACCTGATACCGTGTTTCCATTCTAGAGCCCATGGGTGGGTGGTCCTTGCCTGTTTCAGAAATGCATACACATTACAATTTTAGTATATTAAAGTCACCCTTTCACTCCATTAAATAAGACACAGCAAAGGGGAAGACATACCTAAATGGCTTTCAGTTTCAAGTAGAACTCTTAATTATACTGTGGCACAGAGGCAGCTTGTGGGCAGTCTTGTTAAAACAGAACAATGTTATCAATGTCTGACAAGACTCTTAGTATAGCCTTAAGCACCAATCTAAGATTAGTAAGTCAAGGACCTCAACTGCTTCCTACACTTCCAGCTGAGTTTTTCCTAAGTAAAGGTCACAGAAGGTCCAACCCAGCCCAGCTTCCTTCTCACACCCATCTAGTAAGAGGTTTCTCTTTGTAAAACACAATTTCTTAGTTTTTAAAAGTCATTTAACATTTTCTATCATTAAGTTAGCAACATAAAAACATCTTTTTTCTGCAAAGTTCTACCCTAGTTACCTAGAGCTTATATACATGATTTATTTCCAATCTGCAAGAAAAACTCTGATATTTGGTAACAGAGCATGAAAAGATACTATATACATGTAGCATACACACACATATATACAAAACACACCTCAGCCAAAGTTAAGCCTGCATAGATTTTAAAAAATTATGAATACAATTTTTTAAAAGAGGAAATGGGGAATAAAAGTTACAGAATGGATAGGAAGAGAGATCTTTTCCAAACTTTTATTTGTGGACATTCAATTGAAAAAGATAACTTTTACAGGTTCTTTGGTGCCCATATTCAGCATACAAAAATGTAAAAGACTATTCACAAATAAAACACATTAGCTCACACTGGAAAAAAATAATGACAATAAAACAATTTTAAGGTAGTGCACACTGTGACAGCTCTGCTTGTGGGGACATGAGAGTTACTGCGAAAATAAATAGAATGTCCTCTTGTAAAAGCAGCAATGTCATGTCTTGTAAACTTCCTTCTTATACTACAGCAAAGTATGAAGTAAGATCCAAAGGGACTGGAGCGTACACTGTAGCTGCTGAGTAAGAGTCTATTTCCTCAATTACTGTTGGTCCAGTTTTCCTTATGTTTTGAGTCCAATGTGCAGCAGGTTTCAGAAGGTGCTCAGTTAGAGATTCTAACCAATTGAGGAATTATAAAATTTCTTTCCTGCTTTCAAACACAAATGGGTAAATCTGTTCCACAGCAGTCGCCACAGCCTTTACATTGGGCCCTGGAATAAGCACAAGGAGGGTGAGAAGAATCTAGAAGAGGAGCATTCGAAGACAATGCCAGAGTTAAAGCATTCACCTGCCTTAGAATCTCAGGTCACTGCTTAAAAGAAAAATACTGCACTTAGCAATCATGTACATAATCATAAGAACCAAAAGAACACAATTTTATGGACTAAAGGAAATCTGAAACACAAAATGATGTGTTTTAGTTTTACGGCACTGGTGAAAAAGGAGCGTATGAGAAACTACACTACCATGGAAAAGGATAAAAAGCACAGGTAATGTTTTGCCCCATGTGAACACACATAGGAAAGAATGGGAGGCTGTCCTTTAGGGCACTGTCTTCTATTGATCTCCAATCCCACTGAGGCCCAAAGGCTACAGACGAACCAAGCATAGTGGAGTAAAGCTTCCACCAAAATACTAGCTCTCTTCTACACTCTGGTCTCAAATTCCCCAGGCTCACATGTTTGGTACCAAAGTGATCACTGACCCTCAGAGCTTATCCAAGTCAATGAGTTTTGAGGGAAGGAGAAAGTGGTGAGGGAAGTTACATGTTCATTAATCCACAGAACTCTGGAACATTGATCAAAGGAAATATTAAAAGGGAAAATGGTTTCTTAAATGCTTGAAAAAAAAGTTGCTTCACTAATAATTGCCTCTTGAAAAAAATCATGAAAACTTCCTATCTCCTCACTGAAAACTGGGCAGGTAATAGACATGCTCTACCCGAGTCTGTTCACTTCTGATTCACCACTCACTCTACAGGGCACAGTACTCCCAGGAATCATGCACTGTGTGCTCACTGAGTTTTTAACATTTCATCACATATTCCAGATATACCATACAAGGTATAGTAATTAACCAGGTCAACTGTTTTCAGTTTGTTGCAGTGTTTATCAACTCAGTAAACATTTTTTTATATTTTTTAAAAAAATTGAGTGTTTTGCCTACATGTATATTAAGTGCACCACATGTGTGCAATGCCCACAGAGGCCAGAGAGGGCACTGGAACCCCTAAGACTGGAGTTATGGATGGCCATGTAGGTGGTAGGAACCCAACCCAGGTCCTATGTAAGAACAGCCAATAGCCTTAACTGCTGAGCCATCTGCTAGCCCCTAGAGTTTTGTTTTTTAAGACAGGGTCTCACAATGTTGCTCTGGCTGGCCTGGGATTCACTACATAGACCAGGATGGTACCATAACAGCTCTGCCTGCCTCTGCCTACTGCCTCTGCCTAAGTGCTGGAATTAAAGGCTTGAACCACCAGACTCAGCAAATATACATTACATTTATGTTGTTTCACTCTATAATCAGGAGACTTATCAATATTCTGAGCTCAGGCTCAGAATTCTAGAAACAGATAGCTGAAATATTTGAGCAATTAGATTGTTCCCCATCTCCCTACTTTTATGACTCAGGCAAGATCATGGCCATTGGCTATGGGAAAACCGATGAGATGAGTTAAAACTGCAGCTTATCTGTTGAATCTATTTTCCTCTAAGAACTGAAGAAGTAAAAACCAAAATTCAAGAAGACTGAAGAATTTGCCTTAACTCAGTTCTAAGTTTGGGCCTGATCCTAAGCAATGCCTCTGGACAGCTTGTAATCACAGTACGTTTAGAAATCACCCTGGAAGCTAACACTCCTCGGACCATACCTAATCTTTTGAAGCCACCCACTTCCAACTACTTGAAGACTCAAAAGACATAACAAAACAGAGAACATAACAGGAATCAATTATATTTGAACATTCTGCTTATCTCTAGAGCGCATAAAATCGATTTCTCTTAGGTATTTTAAATGCAGCATATCACAGATTAAAAAATTATAGTAAGATTTATACTAGAATATTGTTAATAACTCCAAACTAAAAATTACCTAAGTGTCAACAGAGACCCAATCACACACTAGACACAACAGTAACATTAAGGGACCTAAATACAACCCCATGGAACAGTAGAAAGCATTTCACTAAGATAATAATAAAAGCAGATGCAAGCAAAGCACAGTATGCCTAGATGTGGAGATGCCAAGAAGACACTGTCAAAAGTTTGAGTGACTTCTTATGAAGGGTAAGGAGGTGACTACACAGGATAAATCAGTTTCTGTCACAGAATGGGCAACCCTAGTACTATTCAAGTCATACAGCTTTGGTTTCAGTCATACAGATTACCTGTTACTGTGATACTTCCTGTTGAGAATATCTGTAATGTGGCTCTTAGAGACTTGATCCGATAGCACACAGCAGGGTGAAGTTCAGGTTCATAACTATATATGTATTTTTAAAAAAAAATCACAATTAATGCTTATTTATACTGAGTGGCAGTTTCTAAGTTTGTATGCTATCTTGAGTCTTCAAAGACCTACCTGGCATGAGGTCTATTGTTCTTTGTGAATTCTGGCAAACGGATTTCAAATGGCATGTTACAAACTGCCAAAACATTTACAACCTTGAAATCTGTAAAAATTACCTTTGGGAAAGAAGTAGAATTCAATGAATGATTCTGAAGCACACATGAACAAGTGCTCACTATGGCAATCTTCACTACTAAAAAACCCTCAATGCCATCATTATAAAGCAGTAACCTGAGATACGTGCAGAATTAAAACTGTGAATCTGTCATCTTTTGAATTTTATATTTTAATTTTACTATTGTAAATAGGATATTAAAACGACTGAAAAAGAAAAGCAAGGAAAGGAAAAAAGTTAAAAGTAGGGAATTCTAGAGAGTCAAAATGGAAAAGTTGTCACTTTAAAAACTCAATACATACAGGAGACTGGAGAGACGGCTCTGCAGTTAAGGTCACGGGCTGCTCTTACAGAGGACCCGAGTTCGATTCCCAGCACCCACAGTGAGGCTAACAACCATCTGTTAACTCCAGTTTCTGGGGATCCAACACCCTCTTCCGACCTCTTCTTAACCACTGAGTCATCTCTTCAGCCCCTGACCTGGCATTCTTAAGGTGACCAAAAGTCAATTTTTTTCTGTATGTATGTATATGAGAGAAAGAAGTGGAAAAACTTGAGAAGTTCAAAAAGCAGGCTCTTTTACAAATACTAGAATATTGTTAATAGTGCCCCAATTTTTTACAAATACCCACACAGAGCTATGTTTTGCTATCAAAATTTCATATGAAAGGACTATAAAAAAATCCAGAAGCAGTTCAATATAGAATTAACTCTTGAGTTTAGTTACTCTTAAAATTTAACTTTATAAATTAAATCTCTGAAAATTTGCAGTATGGACATTTTTGGAAAATGTTACCTGAAAACCTAGTTTCTGCAGACTACGGGCTAAACGTCTGGCACCGAATTTAGCTTCTTCTTCACTATGGTTTAAGAATACAGAAATTAGTTACACAGAAATTCATAAATTAAAATAAATTTCATACTGAAAGCATGACAAACTTTATGATTTCAAATCTAGCAAATGTCCTTTCCATGGAGAGCAAAGTAGAAAATAAAAATTAAAGTGTAAATAGCATTTACCTTGTTGCTCCAGTGCAAATAATTTTTCCTGAGGACCAAATTGTAGCTGTAATTCTAGGTTTTCTAAGCTTCATTAATACTTTCTGGAAAAAAAAAAATCAATTATCTAATAAGCTTTAATTTTCACATTTCTGTCCTGTGTGTCTGTTGATGTCTAAAGATTACACCAAGCTTACCTAAGGTTGAAATAAATATTCACTTGAAATTGAACCAAATGCTGAACACAAAGAACACAAGAATCCCAAGGATTTTTGGTCAAGTGTCTTAAGCAGACCTAAGAACAAGGTCTGTGCACACCTTTCCCTGCACACTTCCGAGCACTTCTTTGTCTTGCTCATACACATAATGTCAAACTAGGACACAGCTAAATCTGAGGAAGACTTAAAATTTGTCAAAGACCAAGATAACATCTATACTAAAATACATCATAAATTTCAGAAAACTGAGAAACAGTATTGTGAACTTATGCTACATTTAATTATTTGTCCCCTCACCATCAGATTTTAAATTTAAATTCTTCTCTGCTTTTCTGAAACAAGGTCTTTTTTAGACAGTCCAGGCTGGCCAACAATTTGGGAGTCTCCTGTCTGTGTTGGGAATACAGACATGTGTCATGGCACCTGGCTTACTATTTATTCTTTGTACAAAAGGAAGATGATATTACTAACATATTTGAAAATTTTGTTGGTCACTGTGTTTTGTTTAGTTGAACTTAATTCATTTTTCACTTCTAGTAGTAAGAAATGAAGACTTACATACTGGCATTTAGTTCTGAGAATTTAAATGGAGCCTTCAGATATAGTCCTAATTTAAAGAAATTTTTCTGTGTTTTATGTTTATGACATGCATATGCATGTTCCTGAGTGTGTGAATACAGGCTGCCCTTCTGCTTTGTTATATATGTATGTTATATATGCATAAATTAGAAATCTATTAGAAAATCTTGGATCTATCAATTAGAGACAACACGGTATTTGTTATTCTGAGTCTGGCTTCTTTTGCTTAATATGTGCTCCACTGCATCCCTTTTCCAGCAAATGGCACTCACTGTACATTTACACCACATTTTCTTTATCCATTCATCTATTGATGGACACCTAGACCGATTCTACTTAGTTACTGTAAACAGTGCCGCAATCAACATGGGCATGCAAGTATGTCAATGGTTTGCTAACTTAAAGAGTCTTTCAGTTATGTACTCAGAAGTGGTAGAGCTGAGTCACAAAGCAATTCTATTTTTAGTTTCCCTGAGGAACCAGAATACTCATTTCTGTGATGGCTGAATTTACAGTCCTATCAGCAGTGTGTAAGGTCCCTCCTCCCCCAACCCTTCTTCTATCCACATCCTTGCTGGCACTTGTTATGTTTTCTTTATGATAGCCAATAGAATCAGGGGGAGCTGGAATCTTCATGTAATTTTATTTTGCATTTCCCTTCTAAGGATGTTAGATATTTTTAATGTTTATTGGCTACATTTTTAATTTTTGTAATAAATATGGAACATATTTACTTCACCAATCTTCAGTTTATCAAAGCCAAATGCATATCCATGGTCTTTTATAATGCTGACATCAAAACATCAAAAAGATTTTATTACATATTAATACTAATGCTTTTATTTTAAATATAATAAGCTTGACAAAAACTAAAATTTAAAATGTCCAGAATAAGATATAAATCCTATTCTTTTTAGCAATTTATTATTAAGAGATCTACCTTGGCTAACTATAAAGGACTATGACAGTTAACATTCTATAAAAATTAAGTTAGGGCTTGTACTCGCGTATCTGCATAAGTGCCCATGGAAGTACAAAGGTTTTGTTCTTTTGGTTCAGAAACTAAGAGAACAATAACATCTCTCTAGGTAATTAGCGCTTTGCTAAGACTCAGTAGTCATCTCCAGGATCTGCTGCCTCCAGGATGGAAGGGCTACTTCTACAGGGTTAATCACAACTAGCATAGGGCAAGGTGCTCATAAATTGTTTGTACCATAAATACAGTATCATTCAGAGCACATCAAATTAAGCCACATAGTGCACAAATTGAAATTCAGATACTTACTCCAACATCACGCTTATAAATTACATTTGCTCCCTCCAAAGCAATCTTCCTCAAGTTCAAATGGCATCTTGTTCTAAAAACACACACTACATTTGTAATTAAAATGTCCAATGCAACATCACTGTCTGCATCCATTGGGGTAGTTTAAAAACTTAAGCTTCCCACCACGAAGATCACATCCTGGAAATAAAAAAGAAAGTCATTGAGCTTAAATGTTCTGCTAATTTCTCCAAATAATCTTCAGTAATCTAGACCTAACCTGCATTTCTTAAGTTACTTTCACATGCAAGAATCTCCCATTACGGTAGCTCATATTCCAGGTGTACTAAAGTTAGAGTAAGAACCCAAACATAATACATTCAAGGGCTGGACTTTGTGATCCCAATGTCCAGCCATTAGTGATATTATAATGACCTCATGCAAGTAGCTGGATATAAAAAGTTGGCTTACTTTTCTCTACGTTGGGCAGAGTAACTGACTTAATAAATTTAAAGCAGAAATAATTAATTACAGCACCTAACAGACACCTCATGTACCAGTCATTCATTATTCAGTTACCAAATATTTCTTATATGCCGAGTATACTGGAGGAAAGCAACGAATAAGACAACATCTTTTTCCTCTCACAAACTTGTCTGTGCAGGGGAGACTAGCCACACAGCACCATTTTCACCAAGGTCAGAATCTTCAATATGTATTTTCCCAGACTCTTTAACAATAAGAGCATTTAAAGAAACCTTAAAAACCCTTAAGAAACTTTCATGTTGAAAATTAAAAACGGGTGCTGGGTTTGGTGGCACACACTTGTAACTCTAGCACTCAACAGGTAGAGGCAAGAAGATCAGGAGGCTAGCGTAGGTTACAGGAGACCCTGTGTTCAAACCCCAAAACAAAAGAAAAAACCACTGGCAATTTGGCATGGGTACTCTTTCTCTTCACACAAATCAGAAAATTGTAGCAAAATGATGTAATTATTTTTGATTCCTTGCTATAGTGAGACCCTGTCTTAGAAAATGAAAAATTAAAAAAATAAAGGTTTCTGACACCTAAATAAGGCCACACCGTGTTCAACTCTGCATATCAACTGCACCTCAACTTCACTGTATTTTCTTCTTACCTTCTTGGACTTTAATCTGCATGTAACTTATTTTCTGTTCCATGTGTCTATCTGCGTTACTTCTAATCATTTCTCTGAACAGAGCTGGGCTGCGGTGGCAGAAGAGGCTGCGCTTCAATACTCTCATTTGTAACACGAACAGTGCCGACCACAGAATGGTACTGTAAGCATCACATAAAATAATGCAGCACAGGCCTGTGGTGGACCTTCATGGTAGAGCACTTAAGTAAAGCACGAGGCACTCAGTTTGATACCCAGTACCTCAAAATAAAGAGGAGGATGGCAAGGGTGGCACATGAAAGGAAGCAGGAACTGTAAGTGATAGTGGTGACCACTAAGGCAAGTTTAAGTCAACAGGCAAATAAGGGATTTACTGGCATCACCTCCCATGATTACCTTATAGACTACCAGTGATTAGACCATATGAATACTCCAGAGTTACTGCTATTTCCTACAAAAACTGGGAAATAACTGAAATATGGTTGTTTACTCCAACATCCATTCTTCTCTCCCTTGATAATGACAGAGCCCAGACATCTAATTCGGTACACAGTGACAGGCATAAAGTACTATAGTGTTTGGGCTCCTTGGCAACAAACAGGTATAGCCTGATGGCCACATGATCATGTTCTGGTCAGTGAAATGATTACTGTTTTCAGGGATGTCTGCTCAGATGGATGAACTACACTGGCCAAGATGCCTTTGCCTTCCGACAGAGCTGGAGCTCAAGGAGATATGTGGGACTATGAGGCAATTAGATGAGAAGGAAGCAGGCTGGGTGCTGAACCCACACTTCCCATTTTTAGGTTTCATGAGCATGAGAGAAAACTCAAGTCTTCTTATGCTAGATTTCTGTTATATGCAGCTCAACCCAATTCCACTTGATACATATTTCTCAAGGGTAAACTACAAAATGCAAATACTTAAGCTGTTACACTCTTCAAAAAGATAGCAAATTTGGCTGGGCGTGGTGACACACACCTTTAGTTCCAGCACTAACGAGGCAGAGGTAGGTAGATTTCTGTGAGATGGAGGCCAGCTTGGTCTACATAGCCAATTCTAGGCCAAATGGAGCAAAAGGGAGACCCTGTCTCAAAAAAAATCAAATTCATGACTTTATTTTTTAGACATCAAGCAAGTTAACTTTTTTTTTTTTTGTCTTTTTGAGACAGGGTCTCTCTGTAGCTCCAGCTGTCCTGGCCGGTCTTGAACTCACAGAGATCCGCCTGCCTCTGGCTCCTGAGTGCTGGGATTAAAGGCATGCACCACATAGACGACCTTTTAAAAAAAAATATTTGGACCTGTTAATTGCTTGAGACTTTAAATATTTATTTTTACATGAGTGTTTTTATGACTGTATTTTTATGAGTGTACAAGTGTTTTGCCTACACGTATTTAGGTGCACCAATGCCCATGCAGGCCAGAAGAGGGTGTCAGAGCCCCTGGAATCAGGGTTACAGATGGCTGTTAACTGCTATGTGGATGTTGGGAACCAAACCCAGGTCTTCTGCAAGAGCAGCCAGTGAGTGCTCTTAACTGCTGAGCCATCTCTCCAGTCCCTTGCTTGACATTTTTTAAGACTAATTTAATATCTAATATTATTAATAATTAACATAATATTTAATAAAATGCTTATCTTGAATAAATGTTTTAAGACAACTGCTGCCTTCTATTTCTTCTGTAGTTCTCCTAAACTTTCCATTTCTTCTAAGTTTTTTAATGTATCGAGCACAAAATTCTTCATAGTTTTCTTAGTAATCTGTAAAAATCTCTGCTACAGGGACTGGAGAGAGGACCCAGGTTTGGTTTCCAGCACCCACATGGTGGCTAACAACCATCCATAACTCCAGTTCCAGGGGATCTGACGCCTTCTTCTGACCTCCATGGGCACTGCATGACACGGGTGCACTTACACACATGCAGGCAATACACTCATATACAGAAAATAAATAAATAAAATATTAAAGAAAAATCTCTGCTACAGCACAGTGCACCCATTTTCATTCTATTACCCCCTACCTCTCCTTCTTTGTTCCCCATATCCTGCTGAAAGGCTTTGCTATTTTGGTTAAGGTTCTTCAAAAAGCAACCAGCAGCTGATCCTCTCTACTTACACTCTGTGCCTAGGCTTAACATTTCACCTCTTCCGTGGATTTATTAAATTCTTTTTAAAATTTCTTATACTGGAAAACACTCAAGTTTGAATTTTTTCTCTTTTTTTGTATGAACATTTTCATTATAACACACTGCTTAGGTGTGATTCTACTTGAGCATGAAATGTTTTCATTTTCCCATAATCCTAGTAATATCTAGCTTTCTATTACCATTTTTCTTGGGTGAATTTTTTATTTAGAAGTTCTTCACTTTCAGAGATATATATGTTTTTTGAACCTTATTAGTAACTTAAACACTAACTTAAAGACTTGAGATATCACTTATTTCTCAGGGCAAATAAAAAGTATAGGCTATAGTATGACTAGACCAATAATCTCTTATAATTTGATATAAAAATGTTCTGTAACAAATATTCTGGCAGCGGGTAGTCAACTAATTTAAGGTATGCACATACATACATAGAAACTGGTAATGGAGTTAAACAAAATATAAACAAGATTATATACATAATAGAGACAAGCTATGCCCATCTACGAGGAACTAGTTTTAAAAAAGTACTACATAGTTTCATATTACACACTATCAAATATAGTTTCTTTTTATTTTATTTTATTCGGCCCTTTGAGACAGGGTCTCTCTGTAGCCCCAGCTGGCCTGGAATGTGCTTTGTAGACCAGGCTGGCCTTGAACTCACAGAGATCTGCCTGCCTCTGTCTCCTGAGCACTGGGATTAAAGGTGTGCATAAAATACATGGGCTTAGACATAAGTGTGTATTGTTAGTGCAAAAAATTATCTAAGTCTGATGAGTTCCTTTTGGTTTGTATGTTTATATGACTTATCTGCCAGTTAATTTATTCAGACAATTAGCACATCATAGTGAATTTTTTTCTTTTTTTTTAGTAGAATCTGTATTTATTTATTTATTTA